GACCACTTGTCTAGACCATAACGCATCAGGTTTTCTAGGAGGCGGTGTGAGAAGCCGTATCGAAAGCCTTGGAGAAGTCCAGGTAGACAACGTCCACCACTCGCCCCACATCAATGGAGCAGGTTACTTTGTCGTCGAAGGCGATCAGGTTTTTCAAGCACGATTTCCCCTTGGTGAATCTGTGCTGGCTTTTCCCAACCACGTGTTTCATCTGACTTGTGACAGCCCCCAGGAGGATTTGTTCCATAACTCTCCCAGGGACTGAAGCAGGACCGATGGGCCTGTAATTTCCTGGATCTTCCTTTAAGCCCTTCTTGTAAGTAGGGGTGACATTAGCCTTCTTCCAGTCTTCTGAGACGTCCCCTGATCTCCATGACTTCTCAAAGAGTATGGAGAGCGGCCTCGCAACGACGTCAGCCAGCTCCCGTTATAGTTCACATACCAACTCTTCCTTCGCTGACAGTGGGTCTGTGTTTGCATCAACCTGGATTTTTGTTCCCAAGGCCTGGGGCCCAACAGTGCTGGTGAAGACAGAGGTGAAGAAAGTGTTGAGAACCTCTGCCTCTTCGGCGTTGTTGGTGACTAATTCACCTCTCCTGTTCAACAGTGGGCCAATATTTTCCTTCTGTTTCTGCTTGGTTTTTTACGTATCAGAAGAACCCTTTCTTATAGTTTTGGACATCTCTGGCCAATTTCAATTGAAGCTGAGCTTTTGCTTTTCTAACTGCATCTCTGCATGCCCTCTGCTCCCCAATACTTTAACATGCATCTCTGCTCCCCAATACTTTAACGGGTATTCGTCCTCTTTTCTATCTGTGCTACACTTCTCCTTTGGTTTTGAGCAGACTCAGAAGCTCGCAGTTAAGCCAAGGGGTCTCTTGCTTCGCCTACTTCCCTTACCTTTAAAAGGGATGAACTGTTTTTGTGCTTCCAGGAAAGCATTCTTGAAAAACTCCCAGCACTCACTAGCTCCTTTATCCTCCATGGAAGCTTCCCATGGAATCCCTCCAAATTGAGCTCTGAGCTCAATTTCACTGTATATAGCTCAAATAAAATCCAAAGAAACGGAACGTCATCTAAGCAGTCTACAACCTTCTTGGTGCTTTTAGAATTTGTCTTTAAATGCTGCAATTTTAGAGTGTTTCCTCTGTTTTAATACCTCTGAGAACCTCTAAAGGAACTATGAGTGAGAAAAGAGAGAAGACTAGACCAAGGAAAGGAAGATTTTTTTTTTATCAGCTCCTTAAGGACTTTCTCAGATTTGTAGCGCACAGAATTTTTTGGTAAACCTTGCAGAATGCCACCTAATATAACACATAATCAGATCTAACTGTGAATTGCCATTGTCAAGAACGATCCTTTTCTGGTTCACATCTTCTTACTGCTTTCTTTCTGTTGTGTGGCTCCAGGATGAGTCAGTTTAGCTAGCCGATCCACCATAAGACTCAGGATGTGGGTTAATGATCTGGTTTATGACCTCATAGTTATCTATTGGCCATAAAGGATATATTGGCCTTCCTCCCCCCTTACCTTTCTTTTGGATGCCTATTCTGATACCTCCCTGATGCTGCCATTGGTACAGATCTGACCGGTACACTCAAGGGGCTCAAAAGAAACAAACACTACTTTTCACAGATCAGACAAAAGCCAGTGCCAGCAAAAAGAAAGGGCAGCCAAGATTCAGGAAAAGCAGGCTATCCTTTGGGTAGTACTGCACCAGTTCATCGGGAAATCTCATGAGCGCATCTCATCTAGAGATTACTAGCTTGCATCTTCTGCAATTTCTCCCTTTTGTGAATAAGGAAGCGGCTATGTTCCTTTACCTGAAGTGAACAGTGTGCATCCAGGAAGAAAAATGAAGCTCATACTGCCCCAGTTGCATATTCCCTCCTTTCCTTTACAATCACTCCAGTACTCCTTGCTCTCTTTGCTGAACAATTTCAGCACACAAAGTAAACAGAAAGCCCTTCTCCGCTCGCCTCCAATTTTACCTTTCTACCCATCTAGCATACAGAACTCACATTTGGCATTAAAAAAAAAAAAAAAAAGAAAAGAACAGGGAACACAGTAACCAGAATTTGCAGTGGCTTCATTTGTTGTGGAACCTCAGTCCCTCATTGTTTTCTGTGAAAACTAAGGAGGCCTCCAGTTCATCACGGTGTGAAGTAAGAAAAATCCTGAAATCTTTACGTTTTAAGAGAACCAGAAAAGAGTGTACAAACCTGCTCTACTACTACTACTACTACTAAAGCAAAACTCTTATTTTGGGGAAAAAAGCCAACCAACCATGCACACTCTGTCTCACTTCACTTTACAAAGTCAAAAAGCTTTTGCTGCATGCATTTGACTAAACTAGAATTTCTAATAGAAACTCAGATGCAAATCTGAGCCAGGTTTGGAGTGTGTCTATTTCATGAATGTATTTATACAATAGGCATTATTTCTAATGAAAGACAGTGATATTATCACCATACCTTATTCCAGATAAACTGTCAAAAGCATGCAGGTCCAAGACATTGGAGAGGTCAACTCTAAACAGGGGGGAAAAAGAAAGCTTTGTATTTTTGCTATATTTAAATATTGTGTATACTTAAATAATTATTTTTAAAATGGTTCTCTGAAGCTTATGTTTGTTTTCCCATCTATCATTCTAACGCCATCAATCCTTAGCCTTATTTTTGGATGTTGGTGGTTGGTATTGTCTCCTACAAGGAAACACAGTTTTTATTTACACAGATGTGGATACTACATTTCACATATTGGATCTCTTCCTAATAGACATGGACAGATACTGATTTAAGACTCAAGGCATGAAGTTTAATATCCTCTTCAAAATTGTTAGCCGTGCTGGATACCAACATCATCTTTACAGAAACCTTTTTTTTCTTCATGTTACAAAAATCTTGCACTGATTTCCTAGAGCAGTCAGGCCCATGCATATGCAATTTATGAGCGATTTAACTTTATCAATAGAGTTGGCTTCTTTTCCCCCTCCAAAGCATTTCAGTGACCATTTCTGTACTCTGCCTTGCAACTAAAGAACAAGGAGCTCCTGATTCACTTTCTCAAAACCACTGTTTGTCCTCAGTAAAATAATTTCTTTGATTTCAGCTGGACCAATCTGTTGCAAATCCTCTTCACATAAGTGTTTTCCTAAGCTCTGATTACACTTCATGATCTTCTTCCCCATTCTGTGGCAAAGGTAAAATTTCCCATTGCTCATAATATAAGTTCCATAATTTTAAAAATTAATATCATGCTCCCAAAAGTTTACTAAACAGGAGGAAATGAAAATGCTACAATTGTATCTCTGCAACTCCATCACTTTGCAGTATTTGTTCTTTTTTCTTTCAATCTTTCATGCTGCACTCGAAGTACATACATTTGATGAAGAAATATCACACTGCATAGAGGTCATGAAAACTGTAAATACTACAGACATCTCAAAAACAAAATATAGCCAAATTTGGATATTGTAAAATTAGCTATGAGTAAATATCCAAGATTTACCATTAGAATAAAATCTTGGTTAAAGTTAACCTGGAGTCACCAGAACATTCTCATCTCCATCTACAGACAGAGAAAAACGCCAGTAGCATTATTCTAATACAACTCAACTTTATTCAATACTAACTTAATAATACTGAATTTACAGAATAAGACAAATTAACGAAAGTCTAAAATTTTGCAGCAGAATCTAGAGTGACTATTTACACACTAAAACTCTTAACATATCAAAAAAGCTGGTGAACATTAAAAGCTTGATTATCAGAATTGCTCACAAGTTTATTCACACTTGCTGTTTTGAATATAAGTCTCTAAATGACAATAAATCCACTGAAGAAAATAACTTTTTATGTAATAGAGACACATGCTGACTTAAAAAAATGATTTACTGAGGATGACTAGAAGAGCAATAAATGAATCAATATGAAACACCTCTCAGTAACAGAATTTACGATCCCCTCCGCAATACTGTTTATTCTTGTTCTAAGCATTCTTCAACAAAATTTGCAAGTTAACAAGAAAGGAATGTGAAGTTGTCAAAGCTACTTAAACATTTCACCTTCCTCCTTGAACAAAGTAATGAAAACAATATGAGAATAATCCTTATAAACTAACACGATAGTCACTAAAGAGAATGCTTTTCATAGTGCAACTGTTCAACAGCAGGGCGTAAAACTTCCAGTGATCTCTCTGACTGCAGACAGCATTTCAAGTAAGTAGAAGTCAATAGAAATGTTAACAAGATTAACATTTTTGGAAACGTAAAGCGAGCTGATCTTTAGATTCAAGTCAGACAAGCACCCACTTTCAAAACCCTGGGTTACCAAATAAAATACATATTCTACAGCCATCATCAGCCAATAGCAGCAAATATTTTTTCTACACTTTCCAGCTATGTTTGGCAATAACTTTAAAAAGCCAAGTACACTTTATTAAGATTATGTCTATTATCTTCCCTTCAAAAGTTGCTTAAAACAGGAACCTGTATTATAGGAACATTTACCTCAATATAGTCAAATAATTGATGTAACACCACACAAATCAGTCCTAGCAGTCTGAAAGATACGCTGCTCTCCTAATGTCCCTGGGAATACTATTTCCATTTAATTCCTTATTAAAGACGAAATCTGAGTCAGAATTTCAATGAAAAATAGCAAAAACAATGCAACTACTTTTCCTTCTTATAAACTCCCTTGCACTGCTTTCAAAGCAATTTTGTAGTAACAATGTATCTGCAGCAGCCATCATAAGTGAGAAAAATCTTTAAGCTGACACAACAGAAAAAACCCCATTATAGTGCATGGGATTAATGATTAGCTCAAATACAACTTGGCCTTACAAGTTGCTCTTTAGATAGAAGATCTGTAACTGGTTAACAAGTTACGAGAAACTTTCAATTTCTACCTATAAAACCCCCTTAAAAATCTGCTACATTTTTTGAATATGCTGAAGCCAATTAAACTACATCTACATTAGCATTTTTCAGGAACTTTTCAAATGCTATTATTCCAGAAATAGCAACTTTGACTAAATGCAACTTTAATAATTAAAAGCCATATTCATATTAAACTTAGAACAAAACTCAGGTTTTGGAAAAATAAATGCCCAAGCTTTTGTAAAATCCACTTCTCATGTAAATAAGAAATATTTATGGTTATACTGCAAAGTCCAATAAAATCCACTAGTGATAAGCTCTGTAAACTAAGCCACATCTTAATAGGGATTTTTTTTTAAACTAGTTATACACTAGAATGTAGGATGTGAACAGTAACAAAAAAAAATAAATTTTTACTTCTTTTAAAAAATTCCTTTATCTAAATGCTTATTAGTAAAATAAATATCGAGTTAAATATTTCTAATTCAATAGTTTTCCTTTAACCAAACTGATCTAATAGCATACTTAAATCTGTCACAAAAGAAGCAGGATCTGGTACCTAATAACAGTGGTCATTTAATACCTTGATCTTTGTGTCTCTAGAATTTTAACAAGTCCATTTATTGACCTAAAATAAAATGGAAAAATCAGAAGTTAGATGAAAGTGCAACCATAATACATTGCTTGAACAACTTAACCATGGAAAGCAGTATGAGAAATAGCACCACAATAACCCCAACTTTGTTATCAACTTGCTTACAAAGCAACCCCAACAAGACTTCATTTTTATGACTTTTTCATACCCCAAGTAGGGGTTGGGGAACTTCTCAAGTTCTGACAACGAAATACCACCAGCAATATTAGCGTTTTCCTGCATAAGACTCCTCATGATACACTCTGCTGGGTCTAAGCATTTTTACTTTTAGAATTCAAACCAGTAACAGAGTTGTGAAGAATTTCAAAATTTCAATGTTTCGTTTTGGTTATCATGGTAGTCATACAAAAAGATGGGACAAGCCTTTGATCATTAATTTCATTCAGACCATTGGTTCTTCTACATCCAAGACCATTATTTGGGACTTCCTCCATAAATCTTTGTATTCGCTAGTGAACTTGTATCTGCTAGAACATTTTTTTTTTCCCTGACACTAATTCAGAAGAATGGGAACAGCTGCCCAAAAATACAAGAACATGGACACTTAAGACAAAGGCCTGTCCTTAGTAGGTAACATCAAATCTCACCTTGATAAGCAAACTTGTGTAAGCACATAAAAGTACTGAAATGCCTTTAGAAAGGGGCAGTCTCTTTTTCCCTGCTGAGCTAATGATTTATGTCGGTGTAATCATGAGATCTAATTTCTGAATTAACAGCAAGAAGGAAGTAACTATGTTTAAATAAAAATAACCTTTAAGTCAGTACAGTGTTACAGTTATGCCATACCTGACCAATGTTCTGACTTCATTCAGTTCTTCCCCTGAAACCAAATCTGTTTTATTGATGATTACAAGATCAGCTAATGCAACCTGCCTAAGCATTAAGGGGAAAAAAAAAAAGAGACAACATGAACAAATACTTTTTCTGTAAGGCAGAAACACCATCTCTCCCATAACACCAAAAAATAGTATTAGCATCGTTGCTACAGAAAGGCAAGCATTAATCAAACTAGAACATCATGGAGTATGACTACAGTACTATTGTCTTCTTGAGGTGCTCTTCTGTGCCAAAAAAGGAGTCCACAAAGCCACAAAGGCTTGCTAGTTTTTGGTGAGGGTTTGGGGGTTTTTTTGGGGGGGGAAGGGACGGGGGCGGGGGGTGTTTGGTTGGTTGGGTTTTTGTTTCATTTTTTTGTTGGTGTTTTTTTCTTTTTTTTTTTTAAAGAAGTCGTATAATCCGCAGTGCTTTGTAATTCATGAATTTCACAAGCCCCTACTTCTCTTGCATGTCATATTTGAAGTCTCTTTGCTTTCCGAAGACTTCTTGTTGTAATTACTTTTAATCATTGTGGCTCCATATCTAGCAAAAAATATTCCTCTATCTCCAGTTCTACTTCAAGCATTTGGTAGAGTCTAGCATGCAATTCTTTCTCCCCCCCAACACAGGTGGTTTTCCTTCACTTACATAAAACCTCATCCCTCTTAAAATATGTATCAGAAGAGTCAGATCTTGGCAAAAAGACCAAATGGAGCATGAAGTCACTTTTCTATTTTCTACCTCATTACACCAATCTACCTTGGTTTAAAAGCAAAGGAAGAGAGAAAAGCCTTGTAAAAGAAAAAGAAGCCATTTCTAATGAACTTCTATACTGCGCAGTTCCTAACTGTGATACATAAAATTAATTTATATATCCATACCGAGATGCTTCATTGACAAGGCCTTCTGGCTTTTCCTCTGCCAAGTGCTAGACAAAAATTAAAACAATTGGACTAAGCATATTCAAATGACATTTAAATTCATTTGCAGTTAAAGGAAGTCAAAACCAATTCAGCTGAGGTATTGCAACGAGGTATTGAGGAAGATAGCATCTAGAATTTTTCTTCAAAATCATGGTGACAAAGTACATTTATACATTCACCATTTCAGCAGCTTATAATTTCTTTTATGAGAACTCTTCTCTTTTAACGAATTTTATGACTAGAATGCTAAAGAGTTGGAAAACTGTATTATAGTATTTATTTTTAATTACTTTTCAGATTTATGATGAAGTAAAAAAAAGTCACCATGACATATAGTAACCATGGAAAAACTTATCTGGAAAAATGAAAGTACAGTGATTTTTCTAATGAGTGTGATGTTGACTAACTGTTAAAGATGAGTTAGGCTTGCAGTACAGGATTTCGTATACATAACTGCATACTCCTTTTCTCTGAAAGATTTGTCAAACTGTACTTTTATAGTAAAAATTCATAACTCTTTTTCTGGGTTTGTAGGAATAAACCACCACTCCTTGGCAAGTCTGCCCAACATCAAAGTTTGCAGCCTATTCAAGCTGTAACTGGGCAGTCAGCACTGACTAAAGCAGAAGCTTCTCGTCGTGCTGCAGGAGTTCAGTATCAAACACCTGCAGCTTTGTGCTCCACTTCCGCCCAAGCTAATGTCCTCGCAGACGAATCAGTGAAAGGGAAAAAAAATGCCTGCATCTCAAGCAGCAGCGAAGTTTAGCAACTTAAAGCTTTAATTTCATCAATAATTTAGGTAGAGCAACAGACTTTACACTGATGCAGCGCAGGTTCAGCTACAAGTTATTTTCTGCCTACTCTGCCATGGAGGCAGCAATCTCCAGGAGAGAAGCATCACAGACACCTGGAGGCAGCAAAACTTTAAATTGGTGCTGTAATATTAGTAAGAGCTCACCTCTTACGTCTGACATCTCTGGAAGATTAGAGAGTCCTGTGCATTCCTTCATCAGTTCTACATACACCAGCAATATTATTTTTAAATTTGGTTTTAAAGACACAAGAATACCAAATAAAAGTGGAATTAATTGTCACGGGAAATATATAAATTAAAAAAAACAGGCAGCTAATGTTATTTGACTTGAAAAACAAAACTAGATTACTGCATACTGTCAGTCTGTCATCTTAAAAAAAAACAAACCAAAACTATTTCCTGATTGTGCACAATCTAAGCAGAGCATAACAACAGGATGACTGGGATGGAACCTCTCCTCTGACCTTTTCTTTGTAATCCTCTGTGTATTGATTCTATTGAATTAAATGTTGTCAGATTTGTTGCCCTGAAAACGACAATGCCAATAGTGCAGCTGTCAAGTCCTGAAAGTAGAGAACTGTCACTTCAAGTTGTCCAACTGTTTGCCCGTGATTAAAAAATGAGTATTTCAGATTCCTGGGTGACAAATCCACTAGAGTGATAACCCATGATATCAATTACCACTTCAGTTTCAATTTGGCTGACTGGTCACAGGGTACTATTTGTCAGCTTTTCTTGTGATGGGTTGGTTCTTTGAAGCATGACACCCCTAAATTGCTGCCTATTATCTCAACGTCATTATCTGTATGGCTTTCAGAATTCTTTGAATCACAAGCAGCTGTTGAGGTCAAGCTTTGCAAGCAGAGGAATTGCACAAGTTAGCAAGTCCTTTATACAAAGCAAAAGTTATTTACTTGGCGTATAACTGAGAAACTCTGAAGTTTCTATTATTCTGAGTAGATGTCAGTGTTGTACAGGCTTACTGACTAAACAATGGAAGAATTTTCAGCGAGCTGTCAAAGATAATAATGGATAGAAAAGCTGAATGTTTCAAGACATTTTTGTGTTCCTTCTGACATATTACTTGAAAGTTTAAAAATTTTATTTTTTAAACAATAATTCAGTGCTGCCGTGTGCAACAGTTATATTTGATTCAAGCCAATAAATCAGCATTGCATGAAGAGAAAGATAAAGAGAACAACATTTTTGCTAGTAATAAACCACATCTGAATTAGTATGAGGGCACTCAGCTGAAAAGGGGGCTGACTTAAGACATGCTATGGTTTCTTGTGATAGTTGAGCTGATTTAAAAGTCAGTTCCTGCTTCAAAGAGCAAAACAGCTCTCAGCCCCTTCCCCTCGTTCTTCTCCCAACTCCTCCGCAAAAGTACTTGCAAAACACGATGTCTTAACTCGCCAAACTGCTTGCTATGGGATTGGGTTAGATTAGTTCCATCCTGATGCAACACAAATTGATGAGAGGACAGGACTGCACCCTTTTGGTAAATCAGCCGTTAGATCAGCTCAACTGAAACAAGAAACCCAAACAGTCCAAACAAAATAAAATCTTGAAAAGCAGGGATCACTTCCTTATTTTTTAACCATTATTCTTCAGTTTTCTCAGCTTTTTGCAGCCATTGTAATATACAAAAAGATTAAAAATACTTTCAAAGCATGATGGGATTTTTATACCATGGAGGCATCTTTTCTTACAGCCACTTTTATTTTGAATCCTGCAAAATCAGCACCTAATCACAGTTACTTCCTAAGTTATTATGTTGCAAATAATTATTTTTATGACTAGCTATTATAAAAAAAGTTGAACTGTTTGATTTGATCACAATTTCTGCTGTTATCCAACCTCACTGTTCTATAAGTCAGTTCTTACATTACACTTTATACAGATTACTCTAATACCAGCTCTTTTTGTCTGCTTCCATGTAATGAAGTAATCTTTTAAACTGAAATGGCACCTAGACACCCGGCTCTCTCATCTCTCCTCACCACAGTTGCCATTACATTAGCACCTTTCCCCATTTGAGCCCTGATTCACTTGTTACCACCTGGTCTCAGAGGTCTGTTCTTTACTCCTCTCCTTTCAAGTAACATGGACCAATGACACTCCGAAAGACAAACTTCTCCACTGGTTTACAGTAATCCAAATGCCTATTTGGAATGCAAGCAAGATTCCTAAGTGAAGTGATAGAACTAGAAGGAATCAAGTATCTAGCAACCTGACAACACTTAGCAGACATGCTGCTGTGTTGGTAAGAATCTGAATTCCTATGGATATCAGTACTTCCTTGTTCCCATCGGAAATATAGTACTAACATACCACAGCAACTGAACTATATCCTCACCCATTGTAAGAATTAAAGCAATTGTAAAAATATAATTCATCCGAATGAACGTTATTGCAATAGCTGTTTTAATGTTGCAGTTTTAAACCATGTAACAAATCCAGTAACTTACCTGCAATCCATGCTTTGCATCAACAACAGATACAATACCTAAAAGAGAATATTAAAATGGATAGAAATGTGCTGAAAGCAGCTAACAATTTAACAACTTGTAAACTTCCTGTAAAATTACTGAAGTAACAGTATCATCACATTTACAACTGCTTATAATACTTGCAATGCTTCCAGTGTATCTGAACATTAGACTTGCCACCTAATTAGTTTCTTATTTGTTACTCATACCTATGGTAAAAAAAAGTCTACTAAACCAGGTGAGAGAAGTTCTCACGAGGTGGATGCCTCTCCTTCTTCCACAACAGCAAATTGTCAGAGATATCCTTTTACATGTTATTGAAACAAATTAAGGGGACTGACTGAAGTATAGTTATTCTGATTGTAAGTGACCAGGAATCTGCAATTCTCTGGCAGAAACTTAGGAAGCTGTTTCCTATTCAACTGAATGTTTCCTTGGCTAGATGAGTATTTTACAGACTGACCAAAGTGTTAGTAGGATTTTTTTTAAAGCCAAAAAGTAAGAGTTTTTTCCTACATTAAAAAAAAAAAAAAAAAAAATCAATATTCAGCATGCTCTTTAACCACATATAGTAATGATTTATATTACAGTAAACTCAGATTTTTAATGGAACACAGTAAATACTAGAGCTAACAAAAGTACAATAGGCAAAGAATGCAGAAAACAAAAGACAGAAGAGTCCAGATGTTGACAAGAGTTCAGAAAAAAGGAAACAATTTAGGAAACACTGCACTGGAAAAAAAAAAATAATGAGAGCTGTAATATTACCCCTAAATAATGTTTTATAACATCTAACTAATGAGGTTTTTTCCCCCTCCATACACCACAATCAAGATCTCTCCATACCTGATCCCTTAGCAAAACATTACACAACTGTATTTGGATTTAGCAAACTGAAACAGCTCAGCAAGTAGATAAACAAGCATCAGAATAAGCAAGTGGATCTCTGTGGTCAAATCTGGGGATGTGAGAACCAAAATCATGTATTTTAAACATTTTCTGAAACGTTGCCTTAAATTATAAGGATTACACTAAATTACAGATATGGAATGCCAATACACTGGAAAACAAGCTTGCATTTCTTACCATCGAGATAGATATCACTTCCCAGCTCAGAATCAACCCAGAACATGGAGGCCACAGCTCCTAAGAAGTGCAGTACATTTAGTTGCAAAATTGACATTTTCCAGTAAACTATCAATATTCAAACATTTCATAGAAAAACTCTATTTGTAGTGCTGTACTTGAAACTCCGCTTTTCCAAACTCAGAAAGCATCATAGATGTCAAATACCCAACCACACATTTGATCTAACAACAGCTACCAAAACATTATACTTGTGTGCATATCAACAGCTGTGACTACAAAAAGCTTTAAAAAGCTCACAATTCCAGATGCATGTAAGTTGTCTAAATTACCTTTACTCAGTAGTATCAATTATCTGTCATTACTATACTCCAAGGCTCCCTCATTTCTAAAAAAAATCTGTACTCCCTCTCTTGACCTTTCAGCCACTGTTTCTAGGTCATGGCGCACACACACACACACATACACACACACACAAAGGAGATAAAAAATGAGCTAGAACAGTTGAAAAATGGAATTGGCACATTTGGGAGAAATCAGCTCCCTCCTAGGGACCTTCTCTTTGCTGGCTTCTATAAACTCTCCTACGCATTTTCCTACATCATAAACCAACAGGATGAAGAAAGTCAAGAATAATCAGATAGAAAAGAATGTTTTCCGTCAAGATTAATCAGATAGAGAAGAATGTTTTCCGTAATAATCTCAGATCTACACAGTAAAGCTTCTGGCTTTAGATAATTTTAAGATAGATCGAGTTAAGAAATATCTAATGCACGTTCAACTTGCAAACAGGTACTGTACTGGAAGGGAAGTTTACAAGAGTAAATCATGCCTGATCAATCTCTGAAGGCCATACCTGGCCTTCTGTGAACAAAATGTAGTTATCTGTGGACAAGAGGAGAGCACCGCATGCCATTTACATCACCTCTAGCAAATTTTTCAATGCTGTCTTTGAAGATATCCTAGTAAGCAAGCTGGGACGTTACCAGTCTGAATGGAAAGACAACTAGGTAAAACTGGTTGGATAGCTCTAAATGGGTTGCAGTTAATGGGTCATACCCTACCTGGAAGTCAGTAGTAAGCAGGGTACTGCAGGGGTCTATCCTGGGACCCATCCTGTTAAACATCTCTACCAGAAACCCAGGAGGGGATAGAAGACAAGCCTGTCAAGTTTGCAGAGAACACCAAATTCGGAAACGAACAGTTGATGTGCCTAAGAGCAGAGCTATCTTTCAGAGGGATCTGGCCAGGCAGGAAGGAATGGCCAATGAGAACCTGATGAAATTCAGCAAGGAAAAGGGTTGAGTAATACACTTAAGAATAAAGAGCACCTGTCAATGATACAGGCTAAGGACAGACTGGCTGGGGAACAGGTCTACGGAGAAGTTCCTGGGGGTCCTGGTAGGCAGTAAGCCGATCAAGCAGTGGGCCCTGGGATCAGAGAAGGCCAAAAGCATCCAGGCTGTTGGAACAGAAGCATGGCTGAGGGAGGTTATTCTCCTCTATTTAGCACTTTCAAGCCCACATCTGACTAGCAATTCCAGCATGGGGATTCCCCATACAGAAAAGACATCAATAAACTGGAGTGAGTTCAGCATAGAATCACCAAGACAGTTGATGCCAGAGCACAGGCCCTATGAGGAGAGGCAGGGGAACTGGGTTCGTTCAGCCTGGAGAAGGGACAGCTTCTGGAGAACCTAACAGCAGCCTCCCTGGTACTTACAGGTTACTCACCGGGAAGACTGAGCCAGTATGTGGCAGAAGGATAAGAGACAACCGTAGTAAATTGAAGTAAGAGAGGTTCAGACCACATATATCAGAAAAATGTTTTTTCACCATGAAAAATCAGGTACAGAACAGGCTGCCTGGAGAGGTTGTGTCATGTTTATCCTCAGAAGACAGAGATATACAACATGATATCCCAAACAACCTGGTCTTGTCTGATAGCTGACCCTGCTTTGGGCAGGAGGAGGGACCAAAGATCTCCTAACATCCCTTCCAAACTGAATTATTCTATGATTATATGATTCTATTCTATTCTATGATTCTATGATTTTTCACACGCTAGGCCTCATCACCCACTGAATTTCCATCCAGATGAGGTGCTTCTGGAATAATGAAACATGTAGCACACTCTCTGCTTTGTATAGTCATTTGTATTTCTTCAGAATGTAAAATGGAACATACTAAACTAACGAGACTTGAGCAAAAAGAATCCACACGTATTTGGACAACTGGGACGACATTCTATCAAGGGCTTGGAATCCGTGACCTGATACCTGTGTACTACATACGGCCTAGGAGCATGCTACTCCTGTTTTCTGCTAAAATGGCCCTGTAAAATGGATCCTAGCAACTGTAGGATGTGCTGTATAATTATTTAAAAAAATAATAATCATAATTTGTTATGAAACAAACCGATTTAACATATATCAGTGCCACAATATGAAGGACAGGAGGACCTCACAGCAACAACAGTCCTTGTTTTTCCAATTATCAGATCCTTAGTTACTGGCAGGCTCTCTAACAGTATGAAGCACATCAGAAAAAAAGAAAAAAAAAAAATCAGTAACCAAACTCCATCTAACACCTAAAACTGTCCACCTGAAGTGACAAGATGCAGTCCTCCAAACATCACTCTGAATCAACACCAAATACCTGTCAGTTGTTCACAGTGCTTACTCATGCAAGATATAGCAAGGGCCACAACATCTAATGGTTTTCTGGTATCTATTGATTTTTTTTCCAAAAAGCTTAATAGTTTTCCAATTTGACTCAAATAGAATTTCTGTGTAACAGAGGCCAAATCAATGTCCGTTCTTTTGAAGAAAATGACTTTACCATGACAACTATTTAGCTTTGAGCTGGAAAGTGTTAGTCTCCTAAATGGGAAACAACTGAATTTCTGATAAGAATTCCTTCATTCTTGATCAACAATACATTTTTAATTGAGATGGTTCAGAGAAAATTATTTTAGATAGCTATTACTAACGTGAGCTGAAGTTTAAACACCTTTTTACAATAAATATCACTAAAGAGCACACAAGGAATTTGTAAGATCTACTATTGTTCTGTACCCACCAGATTAATGTATTAGTCTGTTTCAGAGCATATTTTACGACTTCATAAAATATAAGGCCCATCACAACCAATGTAACAATACATCAGATGCTACTAATTTGTACTTTAGAAGGAGCAATGTAGAGTAGCAAAAGCCTACTGAAAACTACTGGTTTCAGAGAGTGCTTCTCTCCTCCAAGCCCAATGTCTTCTCTTGATAGAAATATATTTTAACTGGATTTCTGTTAAGCTTTAGAGTCAATTTTGAGCAAGTTCAAAAAAACAAAACACCCAACCAAACAACCCCACCCACAACCCTGCTTCTGCACCTTATGCAATTCAGCTTTAGTCTATATAGCAGTCAAAGCATGTGCCTGACAACTCACCGCTTTATATTACATTTTAAACTGACTGGTGAGCAAATAAGCACTTCATAAAAACAGAATAATTATCATGGTTATGAAGATCATAATGTGAACTACCTGGATCTGCCAAACCAGTTGTTTCTAGCAATACATAGTCAAATTTTCCTCTCCTTTGCATCAGGTTCTCAATAGCCTTCACACCATTGTCCCTATAAGAAGAAACAATTAAACAAAGAGAGAACAGAGAAAACAAGCTAAAACATGTATAAACATGTATCTTCTGATGCAGAACATTAAGTCAGTACCATCAAAGCCAAGGCCTGAGTCAGGACTTAAGAGTCTACAATGACAATTCAGTCATCAAGCTGCTGCTCTAATATTAGGCAAATTGTAGTTTTCTATTTCATTTCAGTCTGAAAATAGTATCTGCCTACTCCCGATAGGTATAATACAGGTGATTTAAATGAAGATTTTTTTTCAAATACTGAAAACCCTGTAAAGGACAGTAGGGCTGTGTAAATATGTAACAATTCATTTTGGCAGCTGAGATTACAAAAAGAAAGGGGGCGTATGGAGGGAGGGTGGAACTGAACCATGTTCTTCTGCCTTTCCACCTCACCTACAGCAAAATTAAGATGTGTCATTTACTTAAATCTCAGCTGATGAAGTCAGCCTGAAGCAGAAGTGTATGGCATTTTATATAAGAATGTATATAAATGCATACAAAACATATATAAAAAAATGTATATATAGCGATGTGTGTATATATGTATATAAATGTATATAAATGTATATAAATGTATATAAATGTATATAGCAGCAATGGCAGCATTCCTTAGACCCCAGTAGAACACAATGCAATAGGGCCTTCTGTTTTCCACTTACTACCCCAATTTAAGGCATAGGACCAGTTCTTCCAAATTTTCAGGACAAATAGGCCATCACCTTTGTTACAAATTTAGCACAAACAATCCAGCATTCAAACAAACAGGGTAAAAACACGTCAAAGAAACAAATACATTCCTG